CGGCGGCCTTCGCCCCACCAGAACGCCATCACTCGTATCTCGTTCTTTCCACCACCTGCTTGGCATGGGGATGGAAAGAGCGTGTATTTTGCGTGGGCGCAAGGTCGCTGGCCTAGCGTCTTGGAGCCCTGTTGGCTTCAAGGCTTCGGCACGACGCGCAGCAATCTAGCAACCAACCTTGCGAAAATCAATAAGTTCTGCATGTCCGGGACTGCCTGGGCGTCCTTTCTGGGCTCTCTTGAACTCTCTGTCGGGCAGTCTTGGGGCCCTTCTGGGCTGTCCCGAACCCTCTTGGGCCGTCTCGGCGAGCTTCTGGCCGTCTTTGAGACCCTCTGGGGGCCCTCCTGAATCCACTTGGGGACTCATGTGGCCCTCGTGGGGCTCTCTTGGGAACCTTGGGAGACCCTGGGGGGCCACTCTCGGGCTCTCTTGGGGCCCCCGTGGGCCGTCTTGACGCCCACGTGGGCCGCGCTGGGGGCATCCGGGGCCGTCTTGGGGCGGTCTCGGGGGCCTCCGGGGCCGTTTTGGACGCTCTGAGAACCCAAGGAGCGAGGGTGCACAAAATATATCTCTTCCTTAAGGGAATGGGACGACGTTTGCCTCTTGGAGGTCCCCTATGGGAGCGTCTTGGGTGCCTCGGGCTGCATTGGAGCCCGCCCGGGCCCACTCGGAGCGCCCTCAGCCCGTCTCCGGGCCCTCCTGAACCTCTCCGACGCCGCGCTGGGCGCGTCCAGGGCTGCGCTGGGCAGTCTTGGGGGCCTCCGAGGCGCTCTCGGGGCTGACGCAGGCCGTCGCGCACCAAAAATTGCCGAAACTGGAGCCATTAGTGGGCCTCCAGCTGCCCACCCCCCCACCCCGCCCTCTGTTATTTCTCCCGGCTAACGGATCGCGACGCTAATCGCGCTTTCCGTCATTTGGGGCGGATCCTGCCAACCCCCTCACACTCCCACGCGGCATTTCTCCCAACTACCGGATCGCGACTCTACGCGCGCTTTCCGCCCCCCGCCGCCCCCCGCGGTCTTGCCCACAAGGGTTCCCGCGGCGCTGGACTTCAGGTGGCTGTTGTTTTTTTTACTATATATATATATATATATATATATATTGCCGTCGTTGCATCGAATATTCATGCCGAAGCGTTGCTGGAGCTCGGTTAACAAGTCCAGTGGGTTCGCATCGATAATATACAGCATCATGTCAGTAGGGTCCTGACGGCAGCCCGGGCACATATAGTTCACCAACGAACGAAGCCACGCATCAACATCGTTACGCCGCCTGCTGCTCAGGGGCCTGTACATGTCAAGGTAGATAGCGCTCTGGGGGACCAGCCCCGCCCGACTCCCACTGGAATCCGCGGCAGGGGCAGAGTGTTGATCCACAGCCACCGACTCAGCATGGGTGGCAGTGCACATCTGGTGACAGACCTGGGAGATCTCGGAGCACGATGCGGTCAGCTGTTGACGCATGCTCGTGACAGACTTCAACAGCTGGTCAAGTTTGTAATCAGTGGACATGTACCTGGCAGGGCGATCAACATTGTCTTCAACAACAACAAAAGTATATTCCTCCTGAATCATCTTTCTCGAAGGCAAAACGAATGGGAAATCATCTGGTACGGCGACCTCAGGCAATCTCTCAGGACAGAGAGTCTCACGAGGTAGGCGTGGTTACTGTACACAAGAACGCAGAAGAACGTGTTCAGGACTATGCACCGCAGCGTTTTGACGAGGGGCGTCATCAGCGTCCGGAGCACGGACAGGAATAGCATCCGCAAGACACATTACGTAAGGAACTTTGGCAGGAACGCGATCAGCAGGTCGAAATTCAGGACGCGCGCGCCCATCGTCGATGTCGTGAGCTGCCACCCCGAAGCCGAACACCTTGAAACTCACGCAGAGCAGGCAAAGAGAAGCCCATTGGAGACTGCAACCTCAAGTGCGTCACTTAAGGATCGCTGATGAGGAATCTGGAGACCGAGTTCAAGTCCGCGGTGCAGAACAAGAGCATGTTGAAGATGAGCAGATCGTAGCTGAAATTGGCCGTCGCCAGGAGGGCGGGCAGAACCGGTATTGACCTCAACCTTCAGGTCGACCAGAGCAACCGCGGTACGGGCGAAGGCCTTAGAGTTCGACATGTTGAGCTTCGAATTGCGTCCAGCACGTCGAAGAGCGCCGAATGCAAAATTGACAGACCCGGCCTTGGGAACATCACGCGAACGGCAGAATGACATCGAGTGGCAATCACGCAGCACCAGAAACAACGAGTGCCTCCTGTCGGCTCTTGAGCCAAAATGGCTACGGGAGGTGAGTGCTGGTTCTTTGTAAGACTCCCCCTGGGGCTTCGGTCCATTGCGGCGGTCACCCTGGAAACTTGCCCGGTTGCATCACCCGTCGGCGTTTCCGCTTCAGATTGCCTCCAAGACGACCAAGATGGCTTCCCAGACGGCCAAGATGGCCCCAAGAGAGCCAAACATAGGCCCAAGATGACTTCCAAGCTGGTCCGAAGATGCCTCCAAGACCGTTCTGATGGTCCAAGAGAGCCCAGGACGGCCCAAGAAGCGTTCAAGAGGCCTCCAAGACGGCTCAAAAGACCTCCAACAGGTCCTCCAGGGAAGCCCGACGAGATTGCCCCAAGAGAGGCCAAGAGGCCTCCAAGATGGCCGCAGGACGGCCCAAGAGGACCCCAAGACGGCCCCATGAGGGCTCCAGGACGGCCCCAGAGTCTTCCAAAACGCCCAAGATGGCGGCCACGATGGCCTCCCAGATGGCCAAGATGGCCCCAACAACTTGCAAGATAGCGTCAAGATGGCTTCCGATATGGCCCCAAGATGCCCCCAAGACCGCCCAGATGGTTCCAGGCAGCCTCAGGCTTCCAGGAAGCGCCAAGGAGGTCCCCAAGAAGGCCCAAGAGAGCTCCAAGAGGTCCTCCAGAAAAGCCCGAATACAGTCGGACTTGATCGGAGAGGACACGCACACGCGAGAGGACACCAGATCCTCCCGAAGGCCACATCGCCATAGGAGTGTAAGAAGGCACGTGCCGCGAGGCACAGGACACAAGGGTACCCTTGAGCTGGCAGGGTCGACCTACTAATCAGGGCCGACTGTATGTCAAAATCGTTGGTTCCCACCTGCCCTCTGGGCGTAGGTGGTCTGAGGCGGCTCCTCGGCCAACCCCCATTCTTCCCCTTCGGGGAGGGGGTTACCCCTCCCCGTCATCATCGTCGTCATCGTCATCATCCTCATGATCATCAGCAGCATCCTCATCCGCATAATAATCACCCTCATCATCCCACCAGTCCTCTGGGCGTAGGTGGCTTAGGGAGTGTCCTCTTCCACCCCCGTTCTTCCCCTTCGGGAAGGGGTTACCCCTCCCCCTACCCTTTCCCCTGGACCTGGACGGCGGGTTCCGCGAGCGGTCAGGGCGTCCAAAACGGCCTCGGCGAGGAGCCAAAATCATTATTTTTACTAGGGTGTTGGCCCCATCTTGGCCTCTTCGGGGGTCTACGCTAAGATAAGCTCCCCTCTTCTTTGATCGATATCCTCCAAGATGACCCCGAGAGGCCCCCAAGAGGCCCCCAGAAAGCCCCTTATAGGACCCCAAGCGGCCCCAAGAGGCCCCCCTCGCGGCACCCAAGACGCCCAAGAGCCCCCCAGGACCGCCAAGAGACTCTCAAGACGTCACAAGAGGCCACCAAGAAGCGCCCAAGAGATACCCCAAGAGGCTCCGAGGGGCATCCAAGACACCTCTGGCCCTTTTGCTTGCCCTCCTCCTCCTGTTCTTCTTTCCTCCTCCTACTCCTACTCCTCCTCCTCCTCATCCTCCTCCTCCTAATCATCCTCCTTGTGCTTCTCCCCACTCCCTCATCCATCCATCCAGCCCCCTCGTCCTCCTCCTCCCCCCTTCGCACGGTTCGGCCGTCCCCTCTTTGCTCCCGCACTTCCCTGATAATGTCAATTCGCCTGGACATCCTTTCTGGATGGGCTGGTGGGGATACGCGAAGCGTCTAGAATTCCTATTGATGTGGACTGATTGGGGAATGTACTTCTTTTCGGCCGTCCGACGGCCCAAGGCACCCCGAGAGCCCCCAAGGATTGCTCCAAGATCGCCCAAGAAGCCCCCCAGGACGGCCCAACTCCAAGACGCTCAAGATGGTCGTCAAGACGGCCCTGAAGCGCCCAAAGAGGGCCCCCCGGCGGCGTCAGACTGGCCAGGAACATGGTGAGACGGTAAAAGAAGACCCCCAAGAAGCACCCAAAGGTCTTTCTGTTCACTCCTGGCCCTGCCATGTTTATACATCACTTCAACAGCGTATTTGCTGATTGCGTTTGAGGCAACTTGCTCCTGCATGACGGCTGCCCCTTGGCAACCTTGCGGAGCTGTGTCTTCCCGTAGTCGCCGATGGCTCGGGCGCACGGCTTCTTGAATGCAGCACAGCCTGGATCGCGATACAACCGCAACCGACACAAACAAGGCTGCCCCACCATCTACTACACCCACGCATCTGGGATTGGTGGAGCTGGTGGACCGGGGCCTGAGGAATCATGGCGACCCCGCTGAACAAGCCCTGGTGACACGGCGTTTGCAGAAACCTATCTGCGAGGGCCCTTGGAGCTGACCATCCACAAACTTTGCAAGTGACCCTTGAACTCCATGTAAACTCAAGGGTCTGGACGGTGAGCACCAGCACCCAAAGGACCCCAAGAGGCCCAAGGAGGCCCCCAAGAGGCCTCCAAGAGGCCCCCGCCCCCAGAGAGCTCCCAGGAGGTCCTCAGAGTGATCCAAGAAGCTCCCAAGAGGCTCCCTCATCCTTCTCCTGATCCTCCTGTTCCTTCCTCTCCTCTCCCTCCTCTTCCTCCCCCACGTGTTCCCCGAAGGGCTTCCACAACAGCTGGGGAAACGCATGGCTCAAGAGCGTGACCAAACGTGGCCAAACATTTGGCCACATAGGCGTAGTCTAAAAAGAAGGCGGCGGCGGTGATTCACCGTAGGCGTCTTCTATAGTCTTGAGCTCCATCTTTGCGAGCGAGATCATTGTCATCAGTTCTGGGCCATCCCTGGCGTTGCGCTCGGCCAGTTTAGTCTTGCACTTGGCGATCGCGATCTCGTAGAGCTCCAAGACGCGAGTGTGCTCGGTGGTTCCATCAAGGATGATGCGAACTAGCAGGTGAAAGGCGTTTCCCATCCGCAGGACTGAATTTGTTTCCCTGAGCTGCTGGAGGACGCCGCGGTAAAAGCTGCCGTAGTTCGTCTGGTGCTCCGCCTCCTCCTGGTAGCGCATGAGTCCAATCTCGTCCGCGCTCGCCTGATTCATGTCGTCGATGGTTTCGCGACTGAGTCTCTGGAGCGTATGTGATGTGAACTTGCCACCGCTTACTCCACGCTCAATGTCACCCATCTCATCGTCCGTCTGGTCACTGTCCTCCTGCGACAACCGCGTGTACCCGCCGACGCGTTTCTGGGCCTCCTTCTTGCCCTCGCGCAATTTAGCTCGCCGTGTACATGGGAGCAGGCTGGCAAAATTGCTCAACAGGCCGCCCTCAATCCACGTCTTGGGCAGGGTGGCCAACCAGAATCCTAGATACTTAGGCGTGCCGAGGCTGGTGACGACGTCCTCGCCCTCCTCCGGGGTACCGTTCCATAGCAGAACCTGGGTCACCTGGATGACGCCGACGAAAATAGTCGGCTCGTCGTCGGCCGCCGCTAGCGCCCGCGAGGCCGACCTGGCCCGCCTCGCCAGGAACCTGGTCCGTGGGCTTGGGGAGTTCTCTCTGGCGATCTGCTCCCTGAGCGCGCGCCACTCCCTGTACCGGGCAAGGGAGCGACGGGACCGATCGTCCAGGAACACGCACGGGAAGACTACGCTGGACCAGCTGGAGGTTCCAAGAGAGGCCTTCTTCCCCAGGTCGTCGATCTGCGGAGGCACCTCATCGATGCGGAGGAGCATGCCCATCACGCTCAGACGCAGATGGAAGCGCTGCCCCAGCGCCAGAACCAACCTGGTTTCCGGCCGGTGGACATGCAGCCACTGGACCTTGCCACTGGTCTGGCCGTGAGCGCTGTGGAACAGGAAGTCCGTCATCGACTCCACGTACTCGTCCTCCGCGTATGCCTGCGGTACGGTGCAGATGGCCATCAGGTCAAACCACTGCTGGTCTATATGCCCCACCCCGTCGTCGCCATCGAAACTCATGATCTTCAAGCTCCAGTCCTCGTCGCAATGCACCGACTTGTACACCGCCGTCACGGAGAGCTCTGGGGCAAAGTTCCGCACCAACAGGGCCCCGATGCGCAATTTCCGAACCACTTCAGCGAAAGAGTCCCTGGAAATGAGGCCGTCAGGGCCTTCCGCCTTGTCGAGCACTCCCTTCATGGACTCCAGTCTCACCCTTTCGCCGCTGAAGCCGAAATGGTCGACCAGGGCGCTGCACAGCCCCTGGCGGTCCATGCCCGCGGCGCCGTCCTTCAGTTTCTTCCTGTAGATGTACTCGAGGCCCGAGGACGTGGCATCAAAGTAGCGCCCGAGAGCGTCGCTGGTCGACTCGCCGCACCTCGCGACGGTCTCCTGGTACCAGTCGGACGTGGTCGGCTCCTGCGCGGTCAACTCCCGCGCGAGCTCGAGCCAGAAGCTCTGGTGGTCCACCGCGTCGCCATCCGCCAGCTCCCAGAGATCGGCCGCGAGGCTCGGCGGCGGGCAGGGCGGGGCGGCAGGGCGGAGGGGGGGGGTCCTCAAGAGCAGTCCCCCAGATCGCTGGATGCGCTTGGAAGCCCGAGGATGGGGCGGAGCGTCCAACGACCTCCATCATCCCGTCCCCTCCTCCCCGAAAGTCCAGATATGCAGCTCCTCGATAGTCCTCCTCCTCCTCCTCCTCCTCCTCCTCCTCCTCCTCCTCCTCCTCCTCCTCCTCCTCCTCCTCTCCTCCTCCTCCTCCTCCTCCTCCTCCTCCTCCTCCTCCTCCTCCTCCTCCCCCTCCTGCACCTCCCTCCTCCTCCTCCTCCTCCTCCTCCTCCTCCTCCTCCTCCTCCTCCTCCTCCTCCTCCTCCTCCTCCTCCTCCTCCTCCTCCCTCGGGGAGGGGGGGAGGGCTGCGGGGCCCCCGCGAGCCACGCGCGCCCCGCGGCCTCTGCGAGGCGCGGGCTACCCTTTTCCCCCCGCCGATGGCCGCCGCCCCCTCCGCCCTGGCCCCGAGGGGCAAGCAGTGGGGGGTAAACATCGACCTGTAATCGGCGATCCATAGCCGATATGATCGGCGATGGGCCCCCGATGGCGAATCCGCGCGTTCCTGGGCGGGGTGGGGATACCCCTACCCATCGACGATAACTGGGCGATTGGGGGTCGATGCGTTCCCCCCGAGCCGCATGCTCCCCCCCTATCGTTGACCTTGACTGCCCCCCCGCTGCGCGCCGCCGCGATGCCGTCACACCTCGGAGCGGCGTCGAGGGGCACGGCGGAGCGCAGCCGACCACGCACGGCCGCGAGGCAGCCCTCGGCGCCGCCGCCGCAGCGCGGGCGCGAGGCGGGCCCGACGGACCTCGCCGAGGCCATGGGCGACCGCGGGCTGGCATGGCAGCTGCGCTGGGTGGCCATGGGCCCGTGGCGGCTACCTACATTGGGCGTGGCAGAGCGGGGAGCGGCCGCGCGCGGTTGCGGCGTCTGCCGGGGCCGCGGCGAGCCTGCGGTTCGGGTCGAGGGGAGGGGGGGGAGGGGGGAAGGGGCAAGCTAGGTGCGCTCGCGTCATATCTGACGTCCTACCCCTCCCTCCCATCCCTTACCATGGCGCTGATTTTCTCTATCCGCGGACGCGTGTCGTAGCGGACCTGTGGCTCCGCGCGCGCGTGCGTAGTGGGTGGTGGTGCGCGTGCGTGCGTGCGTGCGTGTGTGCGTGGTTGTGGTTGTGGTGGTGGTGGTGGTGGTGGTGGTGCTGGTGCTGGTGCTGGTGGTGGTGGTGGTGGTGGTGATGATGGTGGTGGTGGTGGTGGTGCTGGTGGTGGTGGTGGTGGTGCTGGTGGTGGTGGTGCTGCTGCTGTGCTGGGGTGGTGGTGGGGTGGTGATGGTGGTGGTGGTGGTGGTGGTGGTGGTGGTGGTGGTGGTGGTGGTGGTGGTGGTGGTGGTGGTGGTGGTGGTGGTGGTGGCGGCGCGGGCGGATGGGCGCGCGAGAAAGAGGCCCGCGCTGGGGCGAGAACGCCATCCTGAACGACGGAGGCCAAACACCGATCCGAAAATGAGGCCCACGCTGCAGCGGGAGCACGATTCGGAACGATTCGGGAGCAGAAATGAGGCCGGCGCCTCGGCGAGAGCGGCATTTTGAAGAACAAAAAAAAAAACGCAAGCGAAAACCCAATTCCCGGGAATCCTGTGTGTAAAAAGACAATACGCGGGGGGGGGGCGGCCACTCCCAACACGCCATCAGGGGAAGAGGGAGAGTAGTATTCATATTGAGTAATTGTGGAGGGAGGGAGGGGGCCAGGAGGGAGAGGGGGGAGGTTGAGGGGGAAGGGGGGAGAGAAGGGAGAGGGGGGAGGCAAGCTACTTGCGTTCGCGCCACATCTGACATCCTATCCCTCCCGCCGATCCCTTCACATTGCGCGGATTGTTTCTCCAACCGCAGACGCGTGTCATAGCCGACCTGGAAGCCCACTGCCCCAGCAAAGCACCCGAATAGCAGCAAAGGTGACCTGTGGGCCCCGCGGGCCAGGTATGAGTGTGGACCTGTATGACCTGTGGGACCTGTGGGACCTGTGGGACCTGTGGGACCTGTGGGACCTGTGGGACCTGCGGGACATGTGGGACCTGTGCGACCAAGGGGGCCCGTGTGGCCTGTGAGGCCTATAAAACCTGCGACACCTGTGGGATTTGTGGGAACTGTGGGACCTGTGGAACCTGCGGGACCTACGAGATCTGCACGATATGTGGGGGTGGGACCGGCGGGACCTGTGGGGCCTGTGGGACCTGGAGGACCCCTGTGAACCTGTGAGACCTGCGACACCTGCAAAACCTGTGGGCCCTGCGGGACCTGTCAGACCTGTGGGACCTGTGGGACCTGTGGGAAGACCTGCGAGACCTGTGGGACATGTGGGATATGTGGAACCTGTCAGACCTGCGGTACCTGTGGGAAGACCTGCGACGACTGTAGGTCCTGCCCTGCGGGACCCGTGGGGCCTGCGTAACCTGCTAAACCTTTGGGCTTTGGGACTTTCGAGAGTGTGGGATCCAGAGGGCTGGCCCACGCTGGGGCGAGAGCAAACACCAGCCTGAACGACGGGAGCCATACGTGAAAAAACGCATCGGGGAAACAAGCTCGGCCCAACGTTCGCCAATCCGGCGTGTGGAAACATTACGCGGAAAGGGTGGACCTACGCCGTGGACAACCTCAGAGGGCGGACCTACGCCCTAGACAACCTCAGGGGAGAGGAAGTTGTAGAGAGGAGGGGGAGGAGGAGGAGGAGGAGGAGGAGGAGGAATAGGTGCTTGCCTGCAGTATGTTCGGTAGATATATCATAGTCAATGGGCTTCGCCGATGACATGTGAGAGAAATAACGCCGTCAAGCACGCAATAAGATAACATTGAAGGGTGGAGGCCGGCCCGCCAGCCGACGCACGCGCGCGCGCGCCGCAGGCACGTTCCATTTCCGCTATCCTAGAGCCACATGTTTAGCTGCAGGTAAACGATCAAGTCAAGAAGAAAAAGACTCAGACAGCGCAGCAGACAGTGCAGGCAAGGCTAGACAGCAGGACGGGCAGCAGGATGGTGGTGCGGAAGGAGTGCATTGACTCCCCCCGCGGAAGGGTCCGTAGAGTCGCCCCGACCCCGAACCCACCTGGCCTGTACATATGTACAGCCACCAGAGCGAACCCCAAAAGCACTTTACCGCTCGACGGTGGTTGCCAAGGGGCAAAAGACCGAAGTAACCCGACGTACCCCGCCTGAGCTATGATTTCCCAGCTCAGGCCACATTGCCCGCGCACACCAGGTGCACCCCCTTTCATGATGAACTATGGACCGGCATCGACAAAGTCGCACTGGTCCTCCTTGTACTGCATTACGTCTGCCTTTCATCCCCCCAATCTCTAGAACCGCCCCAAGTGTCTCTGTTGCGCCAGCTCCACTGGTGCTGATCTCTTGAGCAGTTGTCGTACATGTCTCCTCTTCTGCTCGAACTCCAGCTGTCTGACTGACCCTTGCCCTGGCCTTTCTCGGGCGGCCTCGCCTTCGGCACAAATGGCGGCGGAGGCTCTGGCGAGGTACTCGGCGTCCAAGAACCACGTTTGGCCTTGCCGTTGTAATCGTTCAAACTAAATCATTGCCAAGTTCTGGTATGACTAGTCACTTTCTGATGGCGAGTCACATGTACATGATATCCTTGTACTTCCCCACTATCATTATTGTCCTCGTTGTCCAGCGACGCGCCCCGGCCACCATCGCTCGCGCGGCCACCCGTTTCTACGACGGGCTCATCAGCCCAAGATCGGGCCCGATCTGGATCGACCCAGCCAGCACAATCACCCGTCACGGCTGGGCCGGCGGGCACAGGAGTATAGGGGGCTACAGGATTGCCTTCCCCCCCGATATCTCGGTCTCGACGCTGCACGAGGATGTCGCTGGGCTCGCGGCCCCGAGGCGGCAGCGCCGCTCGGGGCGTTGGCTTCCGCTATCATGACTGCGGCATATGCTGGAGAATCAGCCGGGACAGTCTCTGTGGGAGAGTCGGCTGGGCAGCTCTCCTCCTTTTTGTTATTGAGGCAATTGGCGAGACCAATGGGATTGTCTGCGCTGAAGAACCCAAAGCGTTCGTTTGCCATGCAAACCCCGGCATTACATGTGGATGCTGTAGACGCGCACATGAAAACAATAGCAGCATGAATACTTCTGCAATTTTGTCTGACAGTCACTGAGACCTCCGTTCCTAATCCTTTGGTCCAGTCGCGGGGTAGGTCGAACGATTCGATCGCGGACCTACTTCGGCAAGGCGGCGGAAGCAGCGGAGTGGCCCGGGCGCAGACTCGAGCTCATCAGCACCGCGGTGCGAGCGCGGTGGCGCAACGGCAAGCAGGAGACGCTGCACTGGGCGCAATGCAACGCCAAGGGCATCCTCGCGAAGGACGTCATGGAGCCGCTCCTCGAGCGGCGCCATCCAGCCTGGAGCGGCGAGGCCGACCAGGAGCGCGCCGCGGAGGGGTGCGACAACGGGAGCGACATCGGCGACAACGTCGACGCCGACACAGAGTGCGAGAACGACAGCGTCGGCGCCGAGGCGAACGCCGACGACCTGGAGGAGCTCAACGACGCAGCACGCCGAGCCGAGGAGGACGAGCTGAGCCTCCCAGAGTTCACTCCTCGGCACCCCGCTGTCCTCGGCCCAGCGGCCTTGCAGGACTGCCCGTTCGTTGGGGCGGAAGCGGCAGGAGAGCGCCGCCTATTTTACCGACGGGGAGGGGGCACTGGACGGACATCGATTGCGGCAAGTTGGTGAACACCATCGCCTGGATCCACACGAAGCGGGTCGCACATCGGAAGGTATGGGAGGCATCGCGGCGCTGGGGCTTCAACCCAGTCATCGCGCGCACCGTCCTCAAGATATACGGCACGGGGAGGCGCATCGTCCTGGACGGGTGCTACACCGAGGGCAGGGCGTGGCAGCGCGGCATCCTCGCGGGCAGCAGGTACGCGCCCCTTTTCCTCAAGATGGTGATCATTCTGGAGTTGGACGAGCTCGTGCACCAGTTCCCGTTGGCGGACGCGTGCCTGTTCTTCGACGACCTCGCCATGGCCACGCATGGCAGCAGCGAGTTCGTCGACCACTTCCACCCGCTGCTCGTGGCGGCCGCGGTACACATGTTCGAAACGGAGCTAGACATGGCCGTCTCGAGGGGCGCGGAGGGCAAGACGGTCACCCTGACATCCTCCACCGCGCTGGGAAAGCACATCAGCGCGAACGCCAGGCATCCCGGCGTGTGAGTGGTCAAGCACGAAGCACCTGGGAGTCACAGCTACAGCATGCAGACGGAGGCGCGTGGCAACGATCAACAAGCGCGCAGTCAAGTTTGCAGCGAGGAAGGCACGGGTGGCAGCCGCGCGGAGAGCAGGAGGGGCGACGCAGAAGCTGATCAGACAAGCCAAAGTGCCAGAGCTCCTCTACGGCTCAACCATCGTCGGCATGGCAGACTCCAAGCTCAATGAGTTGAGGAAGAGCGTGGCGACGGCGATGGAGGGCAACAACAAGGGCAGGCCCACTGCCCTCACACTACTCAGCGACAGGGTCGACCCAGGCAACCTGGTCAACAGCGGCCCCATCATCGCCTGGGCGACGGCGTGGCGGGAGCCGCTCGAGGACGCGCAGCTGGCCGAGCGGCTCCAGAACGCGTGGCGCACCTGGGTGATGAAGATCTACAAATGCAAGGCCCTCTGGCTCACAGTACGGGGACCAGCTGGAGCTTTCGTGGCGACGGTGAAGCGCCTCGGCTGGATGACACAGGCCGCGCACTCAACAGCACGGTGTTCGACCTGCGCTTCGCCGGGCTGCAGGAGATCCAACACCACGTCGCCCGCACCCTGGAGCAGCAACTGAAGGACGAGTGGGTGAAGCAGTGCGGCGGCCACCAGTACGGCATCACCTCCATCTTCCTAGAACCAGCTCAAGCTCTACTACGACGGCCGCTCAAGAGGCGATGGACTCAGGCACATCGCACGCGAGTCCGAGGCCTCTTCTGCGGGGGCACGTGGCCGCAGGCGCGGCTGCATGCCAAAGGGGTGACACCCGACAGCACATGCAGGGCGTGTAGGCTGGCACCTGGCACCGACAGACATCGAACGTTCGCGTGCCCCGCGCGCCAGCAGCACCGTGACGTGATCGGAGGCCTACACATACAACAGCGAGGAGCAAACCCATGGCCTGGCCCAGGGGCCGAAGGACTATGGGGACGAGGCATCATGCCGGACCCCGCCGTCGACCTGAGGCTCTGGGACCTGGTGTCGTGCGACGACTGGCTCACCGAGGGCAACTGGGACGGCCTGGCGACGGGGGACATCTACGTAGACGGCTCGTTGCAGTACGGCGACTACCCTGCGCTGCGACGAGGCGGCTGGAGCTTCACCAAGCTCAAAGACAACGACGAGCACGAGATGGACTACGTGTGCTACGGACCGCTCCCTTGCGCGCAGTGGATCCAGAGCATCCTGAGGGCGGAGCTCTACGTGGTGCTGCAGGCGCTGACAGTGGGCGCGCCACCACTGAGAATTCACACTGACTGCCAGAACGTCGTCGGCGGCGTGCAGGCAGGACCGACGTGGCTCAACAAGAGGAGCCGCCCACACCTGGACATCTGGGAGCGCATCTTCCAGGCCATCGCCGAGCAAGGCGGCCTGAGCCCGCGCACCGTCATGGTGTGCAAAGTGAAAGCCCACGCGTCGTGCGCCGAGCGCGAAGCGATCGGGCGTGCGAGGTGGGAAGGCAACAAAATTGCTGACAGATATGCTAAGCAGGGGGCCTTGTATCATACCCACCCCGCCTGGCGCAGAGAAACTTACGTACAGAAATATCATCTGGTTCGAGATATCCTGGAATTCGGAGCTTGTATAGGAGTCCTAGGCAGAAATACTATCGACACTGAGCTGGGATCGAGTCCGACGGATTCGAACCCCCCGACCCCCCTTCGGATCTCCTGCAACCTCCCAGGGACCCAGGGGCGGTCGTGGGCGAAGGGGGGGGGGGGGCCCTGGCGGCTCCTGCGCCCCCTGCCCCGCCACTGGCTGCCGCTCTCCCGTCTCGGGCCGCTCTGGACTGAGGGGGGCCAGGGTCGATAGAGCACAGCACGCGGGGCACAAACTCGTGACCCGCCAATCCCACGTTTTCTGTCGCAGGTGTGCCAGGTACGCCACCGGCGAGAGGTGGACGGGCCTTTTCGCCCCATGCCGCCCTGGGGCTCAAAGGGTGAACGGGGGTAGGCTGAATCGACTGTGGAGTGGGTTACACCCAACCACCAATCAGCCCCTATAGGGGTTCCCTGGAGTTTCTGGCTCGGCTCGGGGTCGGCCCGAAGCGGCCCGAATCTCCCACGGCGCGAAAGCATAGGCCGTCGCGATCCGTGTTGGCCCGTAGAATCCGTAGAATCCTGTTTCTGTTCCTGATCCTGTTCCTGTTCATGTTCGTCCTCCTCCTCCTCCTCTGCGTACAAATCCTCGTCCTCCTCCTCCTCCTCCTCCTCCGCCTCCTCCTCCTTCTCCTCCTCCTCCTCCTCTTCCTCCTCCTCCTCCTCCATTCCTTTTCCTCATGAATAACGTCTCCCTGTCGCACCCCGAGGCCAGTTTTTAGGGCGGGCCGGGCGCTTCGCCTGAGACTTTCGCACCATGTATGATTCTGAAGCTTAATCAACGACAGCGATTTCACAGATGGAGGGCGGGTGGTTTTCAAAATGTGGTTCTCGCCCGAGCGCGGCGCACATTCGTGCTACAGATTGCAAGAGCTTCACGGATTGAGGGCGGGTGGCTTTCAAAATGTGGCTCTCGCCGTAGCGCGGCGCACATTCGTTTAAACAGGTTGCAAGAGTTTCACAAATTGAGGGCGAGTGGTTCTCAAAATGTGGCTCTCTCCTTAGCGCGGCGCACAATTCGTTTTCAAAATAATGCAAGGGTTTCACGGATTGAGGGCGGTTCCTTTTCAAAATGTGGCTCTCGCCTTAGCGCGGCGCACATTCGCTCTAACAAATTGCCAGAGAGTTTCACGGATTCCCATCATCAGCGTACCAGAATTGGTGTTTTGGAAGGATTCAGGACTACGCGGGCGCAACAGTTACGTGGACTATTTGTGTTGAAGTCCTAGGAATAGCGTTTTGGTATGATTCTGGGTCGTCCAGACGCAACAGTCAGGTTGATCCGTGGCGTTAGATTCCCGAGAATAATGTTTTGACATGCTTCAGGGTCTTCAAAAGGGTGTTTTCCAACGAGGCAGTTCCATCAATGGAGATGAACCGTTGTAGGGGCCTATGAAGAGGGAGCTTGGAAGGAGGGTTTACTCCAGCATCGTTGATGATTATTGGGTTTACACTGGTCCTCCTCCTCCTCCTCGTTCTCCTCCTCCTCCGCCGCCTGCATCTCCTCATCTGCCTCCATCTCCTCCTCCTCCTCCTCCTCCTCCTCCTCCTCTGCCTCCTTCTCCTCCTCCTCCTCCTCCTCCTCCTCCTCCTCCTCCGCCTGCATCTCCACATCTGCCTCCATCTCCTCCTCCTCCTCCTCCTCCGCCTCCTCCTCCTCTTCCTCCTCCTCCTCCTCGTCCTCCTCCTCCTCATCTTCCTCCTCCTCCTCCTGGTCGTCACCCCCATCGACCTCCTGCTGGAGGTGAAGCTGCGAGTTTTCCGCCTACCACTTCCCCAATCCTCCCTCCCTTCTCATCCCCCCTCCGCATCGCTCCAATTCGTGGAACCACCGCGGTGTGCGTGTCTTTTGCCCTGATGGGTGCCCCTGGGCCATCGCGGCTCAATCTGGCTCGAACGATCACGTTGGTTACGCGCTGCAGACGTACACAGTAAAGAGCTCTGGTCGCGATGTCTGCTCGCAAAGTTGCGCTTGCTTCTGCAGCGCTGGATGTCTGAGTACCCCCTCCCCAGAGGCACAAAACAACCGCACAAGCATTAGCTTTTGAAGGCCAGCGCGGATCTGTCGGGTCGGCGTCGGGGCCCCCTCCCCACGTCCTTCCTCGGCGTGTGCGCCCGGGGACGGCTGTGGGGGCGCCGCCGGGGGTGTGGGGAAGGGGGGCCAGCGCCGCCCCCCGAGAGCATCGCGCGGACCTCCGAAGGCGTGTGCTCGTGAAGCTGTTGCTGTTGGTCTTCGGCTCCTCCTGGCTTCGGGCCCCTGGGGCGGCTCGGGGTGCAGAGCCGTGACTCGGGGAAGGGGCCGAGAGGTCCAGGACCCCACGCTGGGGGGCTGGGATCCGTCCACGGCCACCGCCTGGGGGATCGATATTCGGGGACCTCGGCAGACGGTGGAAATGGACATCTGCCCCCGGCGCCCGAGGGCCCGATGGCATCCTTTCCAACGGCCGCACGGATCCCCCTGGCGGCGGTTGTGGATGAGTCCCCGCCTCGGATACGCCTCCTCAAAAATGACGGGCCGCCTCACGCCTGGGCGTACACCCCTCCCCGCCCACAGCGTAGGGCCGCGGAGGGAGAGCGGGCGCGAGCTCTTTTGGGAAACGCTCGGGGGGCTGCCTAACGCAGCCTACGCAGGTCCCCGCTAGCTTGGCACCTCCGGGGCCATGTTCTCGGGCGCGAGCTCGAGGCGCGTGACCTCCCCGCGGAACGTGAACTCCACCTGCTGGGGGTCCCGAAAGAGCGTGCGGTGAACAAACACGCGGCGATCTCGGAATCACCAAGAGATCCCACCGCACGGACCGTCGCAGCGCGGTCTTGGGACCCTGGAGGATCCTCGGAGAACGACCCGAGCCCCAGGACCATGCGGTGGCCCCGACTCCCCTCGGACTCACCACACGTTGTGGCCACCGCACCTGCCAGCGCCCCTCCCCGTCAGCGCCGCAGGAGAGCACGCGGGCCCACTCGCCGTTGTACTCGGCCTGGGCGCGGAGGCCGTGCAGCATCACGCACAGGCCCTCGTGGAGCGGCGGGCTGGCCTCCTGCGGCCGCACCTCGAGCCCGCGCTCCCCCAGCTTCGCGTCCAGGGAGCCGCCGCCCATCCGGAAGTGCTTCGACACCTGCGCACGGCGCCAGCTCCGTGCACCCACAAAGGCCGTGGCCAGGCTCAGCAGCACGGGCCCAGGGAGCATGCGCCCTCCCAGCCGAGGCGGGGAGGCACACCCACCCGTCCTGGGCCCGTGTCTGCCCTGGCCAGGATCGGTGAGGTGGGCACAGCACGTTCGTGCCGTAACGATAGCCGGCGCTGGTCTCTGACACCGCGTGGTTCAACCTTGAGCGGTCGGCGCCTTTCCAACCTCCAGATCGTTCCATATCGGCCCATTCTAGGGCACTGGTGGCGTTCAACCTTGAACGCCCTCGGCATGAGTCGCCGCCGCGGCCGCACGGCGCGAACCTGCCGCAGTTGACACGCCAACGCCCTCCGAAGGCCTCCACCTCCCAGGTGCCCCCCGGGCTCGGCGCGGGGCTGATCACCGTGCCCAATCCGCCGTTGTGCACGGCCCGGGCCTGAGTGAGGCCGTGCACGCGCACCCTGGCCCCGCGCCGGAGGCTGGCGCCCTGGCCCAGCACCTCCAGGTTCGCGGCCTCGAGGTGCACCGTCTGCATGAAGGCCACGCCCCCGCTGGGCCTGGAGGCGGACACCAGCGCGGAGAGGCCGTGGTGCCTGCTGGCGAAACCGAAAGGTACCGATACCGCTACTCCCCAGACCTCTCCTGGGGTGCGTTCTGGCCAGGATTCCGAGGCGGATCCAGCGGTGGCAACGAGGGCCGCCCGCCCAAGAGGCCCAAAAACTGGAGAAAGGCCGAAGGGTAGCGGTGTGGATACCTTTTCCTCCTCCGACCTGCGGTCCCTCGCGGCGCCCGCCCCCGCCCCCGCCCCCGGCGCCGCCGGCCGCTCCCGCGGCAGCTCCAGGTTCCTGGGCCGCACGAGGAGCAGCCGCGGCGGCCCGGCGCCGCGCGCCACCTCTCGGCGGCGGGCCCGGGGGCATCTGGGAGGAGGAGGAGGAGGAGGAGGAGGAGGAGGACGAGGAGGAGGAGAGAGGAGGAGAAGGTTCACCGCCCATAGAGGGGAGGAGAGGAGGAGAAGGATGAGGAGGAGGAGGAGGAGGAGGAGGAGGAGGAGGAGGAGGGCCGAGGAAGAAGGAGGAAGAAGGAGGGAGGGGGGGACAACGAGGAGGAGGAGGGCCGAGGAGGAAGGAGGAGGAAGGAGGAGGCAGGAGGACTTTGTTCAAACAGCAAGACGGGTGTTCGGGCTGAGGCAGCCAAGAGCGGGCCTCCTAACCACGCTCAACGGAAGCGAGAAATGGCGGGTGTTCTCAGAGAAAGGCCCAGAAGTGCTCCGGCCTTTTGAGAGGCCTCCTGGGCCTCCACCCGAAGGCACCGACGGCTTCTCAGAGAAGTCCCGCTGCCTTCTGGGAAGGCCTTCTCCCTCTCACTTCCCCCCTCTTGTTCGCCGCCGAACCTCGACCTTGCAGCGGCCGTTCTCGCCCACGGGCTCCAGCACCGTGGCCGTCTGCCCGTTCAGCTCCGCGGCCCCCGTCAGGCCGGAGACGGTGACCTTCAGGCCCGGCCGCATGGCGCGGCTCCACGCCGCCTCCAGGACGGCCTCCTTCAGGGGGCCCGGGGACACACGAATCATTGGACGCAAGTCCCAGGATCCTCATTTGTTTTCATACTGTCTCGTTGTTCGTCTCCCCCCCTACTTCCCAACCCCATACTTTCCAACACTTGCCCATGGATCGACGATCATTGGTGCCTGCCTTTTTGTTCCCTCCCGACTCCTCTTGCGTCACCAGCGGCTGCTCGGAGAGAACCAAGCCCCGCTCCGCGCAGACCCTCAGGAACGCGGCCCAATTCGGGTCCTGGCTCAGCGTGCGGCGGTTCCCGTAGACTACGAGGCCGAGGCGCGCTCGCGTCAGTGTTAAGTCGGGCGTGCCCCCCTACAGGCGGATTTTGGACGAATGATAAAACAATAGTCCAAAAATACCATAAAATACTCAAAAATTGTAAAAAAATCGTCCCCCGACAATTTTTTGACTATTTTTGAATTTTCCCCCTGTAGAGGGACAGGCCCGACTTAACGTCAGTGCCACGTTCAGCACGTTCTCGTCCGAGACGATGCCGAGCTGCCCGCGCGGACCTCCGTGCCGCACCGCGCTCAGCAGCACGTAGTCCCACTCGCTGCCCTGGGCGGTGGCGATGCTGCCCGCGTGCACCCCGGAGCCCTCGCCCAGCAGCTCGACGACGGCCTGCACCTGGGGAGGCCTCCCAGACGGGGGCCGAAGTCAAGGGCTCCCAACTTCGCGCTTCGCGCTTCGCGCTGCGCGCTGCGCGAAGCGCGAATACCTTCGCGCTCTCGCGCCGCCTCCCAGGGAAGAGGAGGAGGATGAGGAATCGGAGCCGAATCGCGAAGCGCGAAGCGCGATTAACTTCGCGCCCTCGAGGGCGCCCTTGGAAGTGGATGGGGTCGGAGGATCGCGCCACGTCGTCGATTGGCGATGCCTCGGCGATGCGCGCAGAAACTCGGGTTCCACAGCGAGCCGCATCTCCGTTGCATCGGCCATGCGGCGCCATCCCCTCGCCCTCGTTCTGCCAGACCTTCCGTGCTGACCTTCCACACTCTTGCGCTTCGTGAAACGCTGACTTTTCCTGCGTTTCCTGAGGCCTCCAATTGTTTTACGTAATGCATCACCTTCCGCGCCTTCCGCAGAGGTCGGAAGGTATGGAAGATGGAGGTGCAGGGTCCCCCGACCCCGTCTGCTCCAACCCCGTCTGGGAAGCCTACAAAAAACCCGCACCCCGCGGGCCGGGCGAGGCCCTCGACAGGGCCCTCCGCCGCGCTCCCACGGGGCCCGACGAGGGCAACGAGGCGCCCCCCGAGACCGAACGACGCAAATCGCAAATCACACCCCGGCGTCGTGAAAAACATAACAAAAAAAACATCGCAAAAATCACGCCCCGAGCCCGATGCCCATTCTTTCTGCGTGATGTATCGAGCCCATTCGATTTGTGGGGGCCCCGGGGCCTGAAAACAGACGAAAACTCCCGTCGTGAAAAAATACTCCCCCCATCCCGCCCCCCGCATCCTTCTCCCCCCGTCTCCCGGCGCTGCGCACAAACCCCGATTGGCCCAAGCGGCCAACGACGACGACGACGACAACGACGACGACGACGAGGACAACGACAACGACGACGAAGACGACGACGACGAGGACGACGACGAGGATGAGGACGAGGACGACGAGGACGACGACGATGACGACGACGCCGACGACGACGACGCCGACGAAGACAACGACGACGACGACGACGACGACGACGACCCTTTGCAGTCGCCGAGTCCTGTGCGTTGTACCAGGAGAGCACCGCCACGCTGCCCGGCCCGGCCCGCGCCGTGAGGGCCACGGCCAGCTCCGCGGCGCGCGCCGCCTCGCCGGCGTGCAGGCGCGAGTACGCGCTGCTCTCGGCCGTGCGCACGGGCCTCACCTCCTCGGGAGGGGCCCAAGGAGGCACACACACAGATCGGCACGAATGCCCAGACTTTGTCCTGTGTTCTTCCGTCATTCCTGTCTACTTCCGTATTTCCCTCCCCGTCTACTTCCCGTAGTCCCCTCCATTCCCCATACAGGCGGACTTGATTGGGGAGGACACGCGAGAGGACACAAGACCCTTCCGAGGGCCACGTTGCCACAGAAATGCAGGAGGCATGGGTCGCAGGACACAGGACACGAGGATACCCTCGACCTGGCAGGGCCGACCTACTAATCCGGGCCGCCTGTATTCCTCTATGTCTGCACATGTTTTCATGCAAATCCACGGTTGTCTGAGCTTGTCGACGGTTTTCCCGCATGACTCCTCGCCGGCGCCGGGCTCCCCCGAGTCCACCAGCAGCAGCGCGGCGGGCTCGCCGCGCGGGTGCTGCAGGAGCCCGCGGGGCCTCAGCTGACGTTGCAAACGCTGGGGGCGCGGCCTTCGGTCAACCAAACCGGAACACGACGGCAGAACAATACGAAACCGAACGACCGAGAAATGTGTATCCGCCGCCGCGCCGCTGGGCATGGAGTGTGCGGGTCCTCAGGTCCTTTGCCTCACCACCTAAGCCTCAATCCTCACTCATGCGGAGTCTTTGAGGGGCTTGGACCCCAAAATTATACAATCCGTTTGGGCTCGGCGCGAATTCCCTTTGGTTCTGGAGCATCTTCTCGCGGAACTTTGTGGGGCCCCAGAGGGCCCCAGGACGGACCAAAACAGCGCCAAGAGGCCCCCACGACGGTCCAGGAGGGCCCCGAAACGCCCAAAATTCATAACCACACGCCCAAGACAACAACATCAGCAGCAGCAGCAGCAGCAGCAGCAGCAACAACAACAACAACAACAACAACAACAACAACAACAACAACAACAACAACAACAACAACACCACCACCACCACCACCACCAACAACAACAACAGCAGCAGCAGCAGCAGCAGCAGCAGCAACAACAACAACAACAAACACAACAACAACAATAATAACAACAACAACAACAACAACACCAACCACAACCACAACAACAACATCGGCAATAACAACAACAACAACAACAACAACAAAAACAAAAACAACAATCATTTGAAGACTGTTCGCTCTTATCTGCTCACGTGCCAATCAATACGTATATCCCAAAACCTCGGTACCCGCCCTCGTCATCTTCGATCGTACCCCCTTGGGGGTATATCTTCCTTACCTGCCCCGTGTATTTAGTGCAGCCCCTAAAACAAGGGAAGAGAGGACGGGTGGAAGGGGGAGGGAGAGCAATAGAGCACGAGAGAAATTAGCAGGAGGGGGGCAAGGAGCAGAAAACAACTGGTAGAACCAGACGGGCAGATCGGGCGGGCAGACCCATAGCGAGCAGGTCGGGAAGGCGGGCCCTGGCGACGAGGTCGAGCAGGCGGGTTGCTGAAGCGTGGGTCCTGCGCGATCCCCAACTGAATCGTAAGAAAAGCCAGCCTGGGCCACGAAAGCCATAAAATGCGGGGCCACACAAGGCAGCGACGGGGCCGCTGAGGACAGCACCGGGGCCACGAAGGGCAGCGAGGGGGCCACAAAGGAAGACAGCGGGGCCACCAAGGGCATGCAGATGAGGCCACGACGGGCGCGAGCGAGCGGGGGCCACGAAGGGAATTCGTATACGGGGCCACAAAGAGCGACAGCGGGGCCACTGAGGGCAGCAAAGGGGACAGGAAGGGCAGCGAGGAGGCCACGAAAGGCGACAGCGGGGCTACGAAGGGCATGCGTAGGGGCCACGACGGGCGCGAGCGAGCGGGGGCCACGAAGAGCATATACTGCGGGGCCACAAAGGGCAGCGACGGGGCCACTGAGGGCAGCAACGGGGCCACGAAGGACAACGAGCGAAGGCGACCGCGGAACCAATACGGGCAACGAGGGGCATTGAAGACGGGCGAAGGACAACGAGCGGCGACTGCAGTCATTAACGGGCTGGTCGGGCGGGCAGGCCCCGACGGGCGGGTCGAGCGGGCGGGTCGTTGAAGCGTGATTCCTGCTTGAACCGCCAGGCAATATGTAGCGGGAGCGCAACTCCTGAGTGTCGAGGACCGCCGATCCTGAGTAAATTGTGAGAAAGTCCCAGGCGGGAGCGGGGGTTCTGAGTAAATTTGGAGGGGGTCTCAGACGGGAGCCGTTGTTGTTGTAATACGGGGGGCCAGGGGCACAGTTTGAGCACCAAGACCTTGCCTGTCAAAAAAGCAGGGGCACACTTTGATTTAGAAAAAACAAGATGCACCGGTGAGGGGGACCAACAATGATTATTCTTCAGAAATGAGAGGTCAACAACAACAACACCACCACCACCACCACCAACAACAACAAGAACAACAACAACAACAACAACAACAACAACAACAACAACAAATATGTTACCCTCATGCACGATGTTTCCACACGAAGCATGCGACCATCATGATAACCATCCACATCATGGGGGACTCTTGTTCTATAGCGGGGTCCGGTATTCCCATTCCCAGATCTCCCGCCCTATGAGGTCTTGCAAACACCTCCGCCGAGGAATTTCAACATATCCCGCCGCGAAAACACATGCCCGCGCCTTGCTGCGCCGATGCGAGACAGCCTGTGGAACCCCAGCGAAGGGTAAAGCACAAGGAAGTATCGAAATACAGGATTGCCTTGGTGGGGATGGGGGCTGTCGGCAGTGGGGCGAGGACCTGGCCCTGAATAGAAAGGACGTCTCGAGCAGGGCTGCTGTTTTTGCTGGGAGCGGCGCCAATGCTGAAGAGAGTAGGGCGCTAACCCAGCGCAAAGCAAAATCAAGTCTCGAGCGGGAACGATGGTTTTGTTGGGGCGGCGGCTTTCGGCGGCGAGGAGGAACACCGCCTTGAGTAAGAAGGGAGGAAACATCAAGCAGGAACCGTGGTTTTGTCGGGACGAGGGTTGTCGGCGGCGAGGAACAGCACCGTCTTCAGGAACAAGTGAGGAAGCCTCGAGCGGGAGCGTTGTTTCTGCTGGGAGCGGCGCCACTTCAAAACAGAGTTGGGCGCCAACCCAGCGTAAAACGGCAGGAAATCTCAGGCGGGAGCGCTGGTTTTGTCGGGGCGGCGGTTTTCGGCGGCGAGGAAGAACACCGCCTTGAGTAAGAAGGGAGGAAGCATCAAGCAGGAACCATGGTTTTGTCGGGACGGGGGTTGTCGGCGGCGAGGAACAGCACCGTCTTCAGGAACAAGTGAGGAAGCCTCGAGCGGGAGCGTTGTTTCTGCTGGGAGCGGCGCCACTTCAAAACAGAGTTGGGCGCCAACCCAGCGTAAAACGGCAGGAAATCTCAGGCGGGAGCGCTGGTTTTGTCGGGGCGGCGGTTTTCGGCGGCGAGGAAGAACACCGCCTTGAGTAAGAAGGGAGGAAGCATCAAGCAGGAACCATGGTTTTGTCGGGACGGGGGTTGTCGGCGGCGAGGAACAGCACCGTCTTCAGGAACAAGTGAGGAAGCCTCGAGCGGGAGCGTTGTTTCTGCTGGGAGCGGCGCCACTTCAAAACAGAGTTGGGCGCCAGCCCAGCGTAAAACAGAAGGAAATCTCAGGCGGGAGCGCTGGTTTTGTCGGGGCGGCGGTTTTCGGCGGTGAGGAGCACCGCCTTGATCAAAAAAGGGATTCCGCCTCGAGCGGGAGCGTTGTTTTTGCTTGGGGCGGGCGGCGCCGATGAGAGAAAGACTAGCGCGCCAGTCCAAGGTAAGACGGGAGGAAGTCTCGAGCGGGAGCGCTGGTTTTGTGAGGACGGCGGCTGTCGGCGGCGAGCAAGAACACCAGCCCTGAGTAAAAAAGGAGGAAGTCTCGAGCGGGAGCGTTGTTGTTGTTGGGGGGGGCGTTTTGGCGGTCCCCCAAACCGATCGAGCGCGAGCGTCATTTTGAATAAAAATGTAGCCGGCGCCTCGGCGAGAGCGCCAGGGCGCCTGTAAGGGGTCCAACAGCAATCATTGCTCAATAATTAACATCCAGCAACAACAACAACAACAACAACAACAATCATTTAAGACTGGGGACACTCCGTTCTCACCAGTGCCAGGGTTTTCATAGGAGGCGGGCAATACCCCCACTTTGTGGGGGGGCCGGTTCAAGCTCTACCAAATTTCCAAACGACTCTTCGCCACCACCCACACCCAGCTTCCCGCCCTATGACGTTCGGACACTTCACTTCGTGGCCTGCGGACGACCTTGGCTACTACACTGGCGCATGGTTACAATGACTTCGGACAGCGCGCGCGGGTGGAAATTTTGAAAAGTCGTGCAGGTGTTTTTCGAGGACCTACGGTGCGATTCGTGTGATTTTATGATGCGCGGTGCTAAAATTCTTAAGAACCCAATGGTTTTTGGAGATTTCGGCGTGCGCGCGCGAAGAAAAAACGAATGTGTCCCGCATGGTATTATTTGACAGGGATGATGGCCCTGGCAGGTGCGCAACCGTTGTCGCAGAAGTTCGAAAAAGTTGCTCGCAAAAGCCCGTTTGACAGAAATGTTTAAAAAGTGTTGGGTTTCCTACGAATCCGCAAGAGCGCGCGGGATGAGATTTTGACATTTTTTTGTTGAAAAACCATTGGTTTTTTGATGTTTTTATGTTAAAATCGCTCCGAACACTAAGCTTTTGGAAGGATTTCGTCTTGCGCGCGCGAATGTCCACTTTACCTTATTTTTTGCAAGGGATTCTTGAAATTTGATTATATTAGAACAAGAAATGTCATTTTATAGTGTTTTTTGCAAGGGAAAGCGGGGGGGAACAAAACAACCGGATCTTGATCACATCGAATTACCTGAGGCTTCCTCACGAAAATGATGAAAATGTAGCTGCGGCCTAGGCGGCGCAGGGGGGCCGTGCACCAGGGGTCCCAACAATAATTATTCTTTAGAATTAATAATGTTCAACAACAACAACAACAATCATTTTAAGACTGTTCGCTCTTACTTGCCCGCGTGCCATGCAACGTGTATACCCACGCCCTCGATACCCGCCCCCTTCGTCTTCGAGCGTACCCCCTTCTGGGGGGATTCTTTCTTTTTGCGGGGGCGGGCGGGCTTAGACAAGCGGGCGTGAACGGGCGGGGAATTATTCGGAGGATGGGGCACGCATCTCTTTGCCCACCATTGGAATTAGCGCGGGCCCTGCAAGAAGAGGAAGGGGGAGAACGAGGGAGAGTGGGAGGAAGGGAGGGGGAGGGACGAGGCTAAAGGGGAACACGCCAGGAGAGAGGGGGCGAGGAGGGGGGGGGGACGATTGGAGATAGAGAGACAGAGGAGGGAGGAAGGAGGAGGCTGGAGAGGGGAGGGCGAAGAGAGGAGGGAGGAGGGTTATGGGAGGAGGGTGAGGGGAGAGAGGAAGAGGGAGGAGGAGGGTGGATATGAGGGAGAGGGGAGGGAGGAGGGAGGTTGGATGGGGA